ATGATGCGGTAATTAATTTTATTTACCTTGTATGTTTTAAATAGTATATTAACTTTGGAAATATACCCGTGTGTTGTTTAAGATAGTTGGCCACAATGACTTTTAACATAGCTGACTGCAAAGTATGAAAATAAGCTGAGGCTATACGTGGTGGATCACAACGTGTTAGGACGTCAAGTCCGGGGGCCTATCAATAATATGCACAAAAAAAAAAGAAAACCTTCAATCGTAATTTTTATATATAAAAAATAAAAAGTGTGAGCTTACAGCAAACCAGCCTAGTACGGTTTGACCTTTCCAGTTCATTAACTTTGCGATCGTGCTGATGAGGTCTTGAGAACTTGATTGGTATGAGAAGAAACCCTACAAGCAGAGGTGGAAATGTAAGCGAAGACGACTATTTGAGAAAAAAATATATTATTATGCACATTAAACATTCGCCTAACCTTAACATGGATAATTAGTCTACGATCTGTACATTCTTCACGTTGACCAAACAAGATGCCTTGAACGGGAGTACCGTCGATTGCAGGCCTGAGCCTTATAAACACATCTATAATGTAGAAGAATATCTGTCTATCGGTACAACGAAGTTTATACAAATAATGTTACAGTTTTTGATATAACTAAATTATAAAAATGTTAAATTTACTTACCTTTAGGAATCTGGATCGTAGCAGGCATACTTCGTTGTTTGTTCAAAGCTCCTCAAATTCATTATCACTGATTGATACGTATTTATATACATAAAATACTAATTAATATATCTTTTTGGGAGTGTTATTTAGCTGCGCCTTATGATTTTCTAGAACAAAAAGTTGTATTTTATTAATTAATTAATACGTAGCGGTAGGTCTTTTGTACGTACTAAATTTAGTACAATTTAAAAAATTATTATACAATGACAAGTAAAGAAATTTTATTCAAATTTTGCTTAAATATATATTAAATCTTATTTTATTTATACAAAAAATCCAATAGTATTTATATATAAAATTTTGTAAAAAATAAAGTTTTTTTTTTTTTTTTTTTTTTTTTTTTTTTTTTTTAATGTTAAGGTAAAAAATAAAGTTTAAAGATTTTGTTTTATTAAATTTAATATAGTATAAAAAAACATATTGAAATATTATTAATAATATTTATGTTATACGTATAACATCTTATATATAATAATTATATAAACTAGATTAGAGTAAGAGTATAGGTTTTTAGTATATTAGTATTATTTATTTTCTAAAAGTTTAAAAATTATTATAGGTTGGCGATCTTAGTGTAGTGGTTAGGTTGCTAGACTGCTATGTAAGAGGTTTGGGGTTCAAATCTTACTGCTGATGAATTTGAATAATTACTTAGACCTTTGTATCTAACTTATAGTAAACCTTGTTCGTTTTTAGAGTTGTAACTTTGTAAATCATGTTGTATCAATATCATCTGGATATTGGAAGTGTGACAAAGCATTTGGTGAGATGTAATGTTATATGAATAAATCTTGATAGAATCTACAAGCAGAAAACCTGTATGGTAGAAATCCTGAGTTGGTGAAGTAGTATAGTCTTCAACGGTCACACCAGCTAACACTTGATCCAGAAAGGAAACTAGAATCGAAAGATGCAAATTGAGTTGGGTGCACATAAATCTGTTCTACAGAGAGGATCAGTAACACCAACCTGGTTTGGTAGCTAACTGGATTAGGAGGATCTGTCTTGTGAAACATCCAAGAAAATAGAATACAGAAAACTGGTGAAGAGCCATAGTAGTAACTAGAGTTGTACGAATATCTACAAGGGTCTAAGCTAGGTGAATCTGTAAAATATATACGGACCATTCTAGTAGATATGCTTCGAGGTTAACTGGCTTTATGATACTTACAATACGATAGGTATAATGTATTCTGAGAAGATCTAAACTGTTCTGAATAAATGGATCTGTAACGAGCTAGCTAGCTTAAGCAGTTAGATGTTATGGTAATGTTAGATTAGATTTGTATAGGTTAATGAACAGAGTGTTTAAATTGATAACTCACAGGTGGGTTACAGGTATGACAGCATAGTGTAGAACTAATCAGGTAGTCTAATCACCTGTGTGGCAGACTACTTAAATTAAATAATAACTAAAGTTGTACATGTAGCTTGTTATACACTCTTCATGTAATTACAAACAGTAGGGACTATCAATATATATCCCGTATGCAATTCTAATAAAATTCCTTCGGCAATGTAAACCACCTTAATAACAAACAAAAAAAAAAAATTATTATAAAATATGGCTTCATCTTGGCTTTGCTTAAAAAAAAAAAATAAAAATAAAAAAAAAAAAATTATTATAGAATAACAAATAGTTTAAAGAATAATTTATATTATATAATCATTATTCTGCTATAATTTTAAATTTCTTACAAGAAATAAATAAATAATCTTAGATTTGGTGATTTTAGTGTAGTGGTTAGATTGCCAGATTGTTATACAAGAGGTTTGGAGTTTAAATCCTATTGTTGATAAATTTGAATAATTACTTAAATTTTTGTATCTAACTTATAGTAAACTCTGTTTGTTTCTAGAGGTTACAACTCTGTAAATTACATTGCATTAATATTAATTGGATATTGGAAGTATGATACAATGTTTAAGTTATGTTGTATAAATAAATCTTAATAGAATTTATAAGCAGAAGATCTGTATAGTAGAAATTCTGAGTTTAGTAAAATAGTAGGAATTTCAATAGTTAAGTTAGTTAATACTTGATCCAATAAAAAACCTGAGTACAGAAGATATAGATCAAGTAGGTATGAGTAAGTTTACTTATAATACAACTTGATACTTTATATTAATATAACACCAACTTGGCTTAGCAGCTAACTAAATTAGAAGAATCTATTTCATAAAATATCTGAAATCTCAGAGAACTATATCTAGAAGAGAGCTACAACAGAAACTAAATTTGTATGAACATCAACAAGGGTTCAATCTAGGTGAATTGATGAAATAAATACATAACCACACTAGTAGAAATTATTTCTAAGATTAACTAGAGCTCTGCGTGCTCATAATATATTAGACAATATATATCTTAAGAGAACCTAAATCATACAGTAAATAGATCTACATATAAGTTAGCTAGCTTAAGTAGTTGAATATAGTGGTAACGTTAGTTTGAAATAGAGGAAGTTTAATGATCAGAGTATTTAAATAGGTAACTCATAGGCAGGTTGCAGATATAGTAGCATAGTGTAGAAGTAACAAATAGTCAATCATCTGCATAGCGAATACTTAAATTAGATAATAACTAAAGTTGTATATATAGCTTATTGTACACTCATTATATAACTATAAAATCTTAGAAGATTACTACTACAATAACTTTGTGATTACAAATTAATAAATCTAATTAGCTAAGAAAGCAGCTTTAACAATTAAAAAAAAAATAAATAAATAAATAATCTTTACCTTATTTTATTTAATTTTTTTTTTATATTTTGAGTAATCTTACTTGTTATTTTATTAAGAGAAAGCTAAAAAAAAAGTTAAAAACAATCTATACTAATTTGTTTTCTCTATACTATTCTGAACTAACTTAGCTACCTCTAGGTTATTCAAGTTCGATCTATTACAGAAGCTATTCTCTTATAAAAACTTTAATCTGCCTAAATAGATTCTTAAAATTTGATCAACAAAAGTGACTTCTAGCTAAATATCAAGATCCTAGGTCTCTTTTTACTTAGCTACAACTAAGTTAGTACCTAGTCTCAAGATATAAAAATAATAAAAATTATATAGATCTAAAAGTTATAGTCTATAACTAAATCTATATTAAAAAAAATCTACTACAGGTAAAGAAAACTAATATAGAACAAAAACAAATAAAGAAAAAAACAAAACAAAAAGAAATATTACTTTTTAATTTAAACCAAATATAAAAATATTATGTTTAAACAATATAAACATATTTCTTGAATTTCTGTTCAATATCTATTCCTAGTATCTTCTATTTCTATACTTGCACTACTTTATTAGAACTTTCTAGAACTTAATACATATGACAAAACAAAATATAGCTATATATTTGTTTGTTATATAGTTATTATTATTAGAGTTTTCTAAAATTAGTAGTAAATATTGCTGATCATTTGAAGAAGAAAAACTGATTTCTTTACTTTTTAAAAAAAGAATGACCAAAAAAAAGCAGAATATATAGTTTTTGAACTACCTTGTAATAGAGAGTATATTAATGTCTGATCTAGCTCAGATATTATAAGGTATCTACTGAGTATCTTCTAACTTTCAAAAAATAAATCTAATAATATATTTCTTCAAAAACATCTTCTGGTTATTCTTCATCAGAACCAAATCATATTGCTTATAGTCTCTAGTGAACAAGTACTACCAAGTTCTTAAGACTTATTTTGCATTGTTTTTTCTATTAATATTGCTATGTATTCATCAAAATATTAGCTCTATTACTGTTTTAAAATAAAAGATTTACTCTGTATATGGTTTAAGTGATTATCAGAAAGAGTTTTTGATAAGAAAATTTTTGTTTGCTTTATCTTATTTATAATTATTTAAACATTTTAATTTTTATATAATCAGAAATTTTTTATAAAAAGATTCCTAATTATATAAAAAATTAGAATAAAAGTAATCATAAATAACAAATAATAAAACAAGAGATTATATATTTAGTAATTATATGTTTTTTGTTTTTTTTTTTTTTAAGATGACTTATATTGCTGGGTGATTTTTAATAGTTTGATATATAAGATTACATATGAGCAATCTCTACAGTTTGTAATTATATAAAAAGTATACAACAAACTACATATACAACTTTAGTTATTATCTAATTTAAGTAGTCTGCTATATAGGCAATAGACCATCTGATTAGTTCTATACTATGCTGCCATATCTATAACCTATCTATGAGTTATTTATTTAAATACTCTGTTCAACTAACCTATACTGTTACAAACTAATGTTAATATAATACCTAACCACTTAAGCTAGCTAGCTTGTTACAGATCTATTTTTTGACTCTAGCTTAGATCCTTATGAGATGCTTATTGTTCAATATATTGTGAGCTCATAGAGCTCTAGTTAATCTTGAAGCAAATCTATTAGAGTAGTCTGTGCCTATTTTACGAATTCATCTAGCTTAGATTCTTGTAGATGTTTATACTGTTATAAAATAGATTTTAGCATATTTCTTAATTATTGTATTTTTATATTATTATATATATATATATATATTTTTTTTTTTTTTTTTTTTTACAAGTGACCTCTTTGGCCATATATTTTTATTAAATTTATTATAATTGATTACAAGTAATGATTACAACATATTTAACTACATATGCAACCTTAGGACTAATTTATCCTCGAGATATACTTGACTAAGACTTTATAACCCATATTTATATTATCCTAGGTTTTGTTACACTACGATTTATCTGTTTAAAGTTTTTACTATATTCTTCGCATCTCCCATGCTTGCACAAAGCTACTTCCTAATAGGTGGTCATCCATTATAGATATTTCAGTATTGTAATCTTCACAGTTACTTCCTAATTGGGTATTCTGGCTTAAAGGTACCTATTATTAACATTTACACAATGTTGAGACACGTAAGTACTTACATTACATCGAGTTGTATTCACATGCTATATTCATATACCTTTTTGAGGACTCTCG